TACAGCTTGTAAGTGTAATAATGTGTTCACAAATGCATTGGCATTATTTATGCAATTTTTATAATAATGCAGTAGTCTGCATAAAAGTAAATCTTTTATTTTTTTGTGTGAATAAAAATTCAAATTGGAAAGCAAGTGTAATATAGGAGAGGCTGAGAACATGACTAACAAACAGAGGAAATGTTGTTTTAGTGCCAGGAATGTCTGCAGTATTTATTCTTGACCCTATTTTGAAATTGACAGTTTTTGAATTTTGTGTGAAATTGACCAATTACCGATTTCTGATCACTTTATTGGGTAGCTGAATTAAGTAAATGGGTTGTTTTCTTTTACTCATTCAATAGAATAGAAGGAATACTTGTGAAATAGCTATGAGTTTGGTCGACTGGAATACTGGAATTGGCTGAAAATAGGGCTCAGATTGGATGAAATTGCCGATGCATAAATATTTCCCAGACTGCTGACTTTGTGAGAGAGTAATTGCATAAGTTTTTCATTAAATTTCATACTTTTGGTTTCATTACCTTCAGAAAAAGATTCTCTTATCATTTTATAAGAATTTTTTTTTTTAAATTCTTCATCCCTGAGAGCAGTTTCAGATCAAGGGTTTGACCCTTATGCGGCTAATTACCAGCTTCAGCTCTTTATTATTAGTATCAGTTACAAGCTTCAAATCTTCATTATCAGTACAGCCTCTCCTCACTTAGCGACGTACTCGTTTACCGACAACTCAGACTTAGGACGAGCTCTCTGACCAGTATGCATACCTAAATAATGTATATTAGAGCTGATTTCCTCTATTCTCTTTATCACAATATACAGTACACTACTATATAAATATTTAAAAATATACCAGAAATGTGATAAATGGTGCAAAGGTGACATTAAAACAATATCAAAGATGGTTGACACAAACCCATAACCATGATTGTTGCTCTCACTAACACCAATTCATTTACTGACTGTCTTAGACGGAACTCCATCTTAAGTGAGAGAAGTGTATTACTTACAGCTTCAACTCTCATTATCATATTACTAACCGCTTCAACTCTCATTATAGTATACAACCGCTTAGCTTTCATTATCAGTATTACTAACAGCTTCAGCTCTTCATTATCAGTATTACTAACCAGCTTCACTCTTCATTATCAGTATTACTAACCAGCTTCAACTCTTCATTATCAGTATTACTAACCAGCTTCAGCTCTTCATTATCAGTATTACTAACCAGCTTCAGCTCTTCATTATCAGTATTACTAACCAGCTTCAACTCTTCATTATCAGTATTACTAACCAGCTTCAACTCTTCATTATCAGTACAGTGGACCCTCGCCCAACGATGTTAATCCATTTCTGAGAGCTCAACGTTAGGCGAAATTATCGTTAGCCGAATTAATTTTCCCCATAAGAAATAATGGAAATCAAATTAATCCGTTCCTGACACCCCAAAGTATGAAAAAAAAAAATTTTACCACATGAAATATTAATTTTAATACACACAAACTGAAGAAGACATGCACAGTTACATGACACTTACCTTTATTGAAGATCTGGTGATGATTGATGGGATGGGAGGAGGGGAGAGTGTGGATGGTGTTAATGTTTAGAAGGGGAATCCCCTTCCATTAGGACTTGAGGTGTCAAGTCCTTTTCCGGGGTTACTTCCCTTCTTCTTTTAATGCCACTAGGACCAGCTTCAGAGTCACTGGACCTCTGTCGCACAACTTATCTGTCCATAGAGGCCTGTACCTCCCGTTCCTTTATGACATTTCAAAAGTGTTTCACAACATTGTCAGTGTAATAGTCACCAGCACGGCTTGCAATAGCTGTGTGAGGGTGATTTTCATCAAAAAAGGTTTGCACTTTAAGCCACATTGCACACATTTCCTTAATCTTTGAAGTAGGCAACTTCCTCAATTTCTCTATCCCCTCCTCTGGAGCAGTTTCCTCAGGTCTGGCCTCTTGCTGTTGAAAATGATCTACCAGCTCATCAGTGGTTATTTCATCATTGTCCTCCTCCACCAACTCTTCCACATCCTCCCCACTAACCTCCAACCCCAAGGACTTCCCCAGTGCCACAATTGATTCCACAACTGGCATAGGCTTCTCAGGGTTAGCCTCAAATCCTTCAAAATCTCTTTTGTCTACACATTCTGGCCACAGTTTCTTCCAAGCAGAGTTCAAGGTCCTCTTAGTCACTTCCTCCCAAGCCTTACCTATAATGTTTACACAATTGAGAATGCTACAGTGATCTCTCCAAAACTCTCTTAGAGTCAATTGAGTTTCTGAGGTCACTACAAAGCACTTCAACATAGCTTTTGTGTAGAGTTTTTTGAAGTTTGCAATGACCTGCTGGTCCATGGGCTGCAGGAGAGGAGTGGTATTAGAAGGCAAAAACTTGACCTTAATGAAGCTTCATTTCTGCAGAAAGTCACTCTGCCATGTCTGAAGGATAACCAGGAGCATTGTCTAATACCAGGAGGCACTTAAGGTCCAATTTATTTTCCAGGAGGTAATTTTTCAGTGGGGGCAAATGCATGGTGTAACCAGTCATAAAAAAAGTCCCTAGTGACCCATGCCTTACTGTTTGCCCTCCACAGCACACACAAATTAGCCTTGAGGACATTGTTTTTCCTGAACACACTGGGAGTTTCAGAGTGATACACCAATAAAGGCTTCACTTTGCAATCACCACTAGCATTAGCACACATCAACAGAGTAAGCCTGTCTTTCATAGGCTTATGTCCTGGGAGTGCCTTTTCCTCCTGAGTAATGTAGGTCCTGCTTGGCATTTTCTTCCAAAACAGGCCTGTTTTGTCACAATTAAACACTTGTTCAGGTTTCAGTCCTTCACTGTCTATGTACTCCTTGAATTCCTGCATATATTTTTCAGCTGCTTTGTGGTCCGAGCTGGCAGTCTCACCATGCCTTATCACACTATGTATGCCACTACGATTCTTAAATCTCTCAAACCAACCTTTGCTGGCCTTAAATTCACTCACATCACCATTAGTTGCAGGCATTTTTCTAATTAAATCGTCATGCAACTTCCTAGCCTTTTCACATATGATCGCTAGAGAGATGCTATCTCCTGCTATCTGTTTTTCGTTTATCCACACCAATAACAGTCTCTCAACACCTTCTATCACTTGTGATCTCTGTTTTGAAAACAAAGTTGCACCTTTGGCAAGAACAGCTTCCTTGATTGCTGTTTTCTTGGCCACAATAGTAGTGATGGTTGATTGGGGTTTTGTGTACAACCTGGCCAGCTCGAAGACACGCACTCCACTTTCATACTTAGCAATGATCTCTTTCTTCATATCCATAGTAATTCTCACCGTTTTTTCTGTAGGGTTGGCACTAGAAGCTTTCTTGGGGCCCATGGTGACTTATTTTGCAGGTGCATCACTAAAAAGGCTGTGATAAGATGAAATGTTCCGATTGTATGCTTGGATGCGACCGCGGTGGCTGGCTTGTAAACACTGGCACCCACGGAACAAGTGAGGCGGGCTCAGGCCGCACGTGGACGTGTCTCGAACAAATCGCGTTGAGTGAGTTTTTTAGTGCTAGCCGAGGCAAAATTTTGGTGTTAAAGTGTATCACTAGGCGGATTTAACGTTATGCGATGCCATTGTTAGGCGAGGGTCCACTGTATTACTTACAAGCTTTAACTCCTCATTATCAGTATTACTAACCAGCTAATCAGTATTAAGAACATAAGAAAGAAGGAACACTGCAACAGGCCTACTGACCCATGCGGAGCAGGTCCATGTCCCTCCCCGTATTAGCCCTATGACCCACCCAGTCTGGTCATCTCCACTCAAAGATGGAGCACTGCACCAGACCCAGCAGCAGAAGCTAGTCAGGTCCAACTCACACCCACTCATGTATTTATCTAACCTATTTTTAAAACTACACAATGTTTTAGCCTGAATAACTGTACTCGGGAGTTTGTTCCACTCATCCATAACTCTATTACCAAACCAGTGCTTTCCTATATCCTTCCTGAATCTGAATTTTTCCAACTTGAAACCATTGCTGCGAGTCCTGTCTTGGCTGGAAATTTTCAGCACGCTATTTACATCCCCTTTATTTATTCCTGTTTTCCATTTATACACCTCGATCATATCCCCCTAATTCTACGCCTTTTGAGAGAGTGCATATTCAGGGCCCTCAGTCTATCCTCATAGGGAAGATTTCTGAGACATGGGATCATCTTTGTCATCCTCATCTGTATGTTTTCCAGAGCATTTATATCCATTCTGTAATACGGTGACCAGAACTGAGCAGCATAGTCTAAATGAGGCCTAACCAAGGATATATAGAGTTGAAGAACAACCTGAGGACTTCTATTATTTATACTTCTAGATATGAAGCCAAGAATTCTGTTAGCTTTATTGTGAACACTAATGCACTGTTGTCTTGGTTTTAGATTACTGCTAACCAGAACTCCTAAATCCTTTTTGCAATCAGTAGTATTAAGATCTACATGATTTAATTTATATGTGGCATGGTTATTTACCTGTCCAACATTTAGAACTTTGCATTTGTCAATATTAAACTGCATCTGCCACTTCTCCGACCATTGCATCAGTCTATTCAAATCATCCTGGAGTGCTCTAGTGTCCTCATTAGAATGAATTGGATGGCCTATTTTGGCATCATCAGCAAATTTGCTTATGTCGCTATTTATTCCCTCATCTATGTCGTTTATGTAAATTGTGAACAGCAACGGGCCCAACACTGACCCCTGAGGAACACCGCTTGTGACGTGCCCCCATTCTGATTTCTCCCCATTTATGCAGACTCTCTGCTGCCTATTTGTCAGCCATGCCTCTACCCAGGAAAAAATTTCTCCTATTCAGTGTGCCTTAAGTTTCCTCAATAGCCTCTGGTGTGGAACTCTATCAAAAGCCTTACTGAAGTCCATATACACAATATCATATTCATTTTGGTGTGTTGCATGAATTTAAATTATTTTTTTTTTTGTATTTTTACAGGAAAATTCAGGTAATGAACCAAAGAAGTGGAAAGCTGCCTAAAACAGCCAGCATCTCTGAATTCGACAGTGGTCTGGAAGGTATTCCCAAGATTCAGAAGAAGAAAATTAAAGAAAGGAGATGATATATGTATATAGAATTTTCCAAGCAGGTACCAAGGTATTAGGCAGCAGTGAGAGTAGCTGTTTATATTATTCCCCATCTTTTTTCTCCACTACACTTTGAAAAAGTGAGGAGGTTTGAGTGTGAGATATATTACCTTATCTATTTAACCATTATTACCTTATCTATTTAACCTAATCTATTTAACTATCTTTTTTTTTTATATATAATTTGACAAATCCTTAATATCAGCAGGTTTAATTATGTGTATTTTTTTCAACACCCTGGCCATCTCCCACAAAGGCAGGGTTACCAGAAACAGAAGAAACAAAAGCTTTTCTTCTTTTTACATTTAGTAATTTATACAGAAGTGGTTACTAGCACCTTGCTTCTGGCATTTTAGTCACCTCTTATGACATGCATCGCTTATGGAGGAAGAATTCTTCTCCACTTTCCTATGGATATAAATATATAGATGGATAGATATATGTATATATTTATATTTTTATATATTTATACTTTTATATATATACACAGTAGGGATCCCCATATTCACAGGTGATACTTTACAAGAATTAACGTGGATATCCGAAACCATGGATAGTGGCGAACTCTACATACAAGTTTTTTAGTTTACATACATACCTATGATAGTTTAATTGATAAATTGTGTGCAATAAGTTGAGAATCAACACTTTTTAACTGATGGGAAGCACTTTGTGGCTTCTCTTGGGCTTTGAAGAACTGTCATCACTACTTTTGTGCTTTGTTATCATTATTAAGCAAAATTAAGGCTGATTTTCGGGTCATGGTGAACCCTGAATAACTGAAACCACGGAAACCGAACCTGTGGATATGGGGGTCCTACTGTATATATTCTTATTCTTTCAACAAAATGGCCATATCTCACCAAAGCAGGAAGGCCCAATAAAGAAAAATCATCATTATTTAGGAATGTACTATTAGAATATAATTTTCATTATGAATGCCATACCATATTTTCCTTTATACATTATTTTCTTCATATTGCATTTGTAAGTACTGATCATAAATTTATTAATCATTTCATATACTGTGTTCTTTAGCAGAAATTGGGAACAAATAAACATTGTAAATAAAACAGCAAATCTAATTTACAGTGTACATCATACAAGGAATTTCAGGATATGAAGTCACTGGTGACAGTTACCTTAATAATCATAGTGTAAAAATGTATTCAGCAGTAAATTCACTTCTTTCTTTCTTTCAACACACCAGCCGTATCCCACCGAGGTGGGGTGGCCCAAAAGGAAAAACGAAAATTTCTCCTTTTACATTTAGTAATATATACAGGAGAAGGGGTTACTAGCCCCTTGCTCCTGGCATTTTAGTTGCCTCTTACAAGACACATGGCTTACGGAGAAAGAATTCTGTTCCACTTTCCCATGGAGATAAGAGGAAATAAACAAGAACAAGAACTAGAAAGAAAATAGAAGAAAACCCAGAGGGTTGTGTATATATATGCTTGTACATGTATGTGTAGTGTGACCTAAGTGTAAGTAGAAGTAGCAAGATGTACCTGAAACCTTGCATGTTCATGAGACAGAATAATGGACACCAGCAATCCTACCATCATGTAAAACAATTACAGGCTTTCGTTTTACACTCACTTGGCAGGACGGTAGTACCTCTCCGGGTGGTTGCTGTCTACCAACCTACTACCTAGAAGTAAATTTACTTATAATTAGTAAATCAGAATGCTTGCCTTGGTATTGGGAAAAGGATATAGTTGTTTAATTCAGAAGAATTGTGATGCTTTGTAATTGGCTTAGCATACAGTCTGGCCATGAACCCCTGACTGCTGCTTGACAAAAACCCTTGTATACTTGGTAATATGATGGTAGAATACACCAAGAGTATGTAAAATATAGTATGTGAGTTATGGCATTTTAAGGAAGACATTTTCCACCGGGGAGTTTATCAGTTTGTGAATTTGTATAGTCCTCGATGACAAAACTTGATAAAGTGCCAAACTTGCAAATTGTGTGTTATTTATGTCCTTTATGCTCATGTTGGAAGTGAGGGGAAGGCAGGGCAACCGCATACAGCCAGTGGCATTCGGAAAAACCACCATGACTCTGTGTTGCCCCTTGTCTACCCATGTTTTGAAACCAGTTTACTTTTATCCACATTGCTCACTTTTTTTTTTTTTTCAATATTTGGGACATAATTGCAATTTTTAGGTATAGTACAGGCATTAGTAAACTTTCTCAGCACAAATGAGGTCAAATGTAGTGCAATTTGGAAAGAATCTTTGCTTTGCTCTTTGACCTCTCACCTTGAATCATATCTGCTTCTTGACAATTTTTTTTTTATAGTGATTACTGCAGTTTGGAGGGATATGTTGTGTATCTTTATACGTATATGCTTCTAAACTGTTGTGTTCTGAGCACCTCTGCAAAAACAGTGATTATGTGTGAGTGAGGTGAAAATGTTGAATGATGATGAAAGTATTTTCTTTTTGGGGATTTTCTTTCTTTTTGGGTCACCCTGCCTCGGTGGGAGACGGCCAACTTGTTGAAAAAAAAAAAAATTACTGCCTTCTATGTTCTGACAATTTTTCTAAACATCATTCATGTTTAGTATGTCAGATATTGCCATATTGCCAGCAGGTATTGTAGAAAGATGCTTGGTGCAGCAGAAATCCTTATTATCAAGTCATACAAGGAGTGAAAGAAGTAGAAAAGATATGAATTAAGTCAGGTATTATCTCTGGTGATCTGAATTGGTGTTGTCACCTAAAAATTTCCTGCGCACCAAATTTCTTACTACTGTTGTTCATGTTGGATTTGGAGGCATTTCTTAGTTTCATACATCTAGTGTCTAGGTTTCTGTAAGATGCTCTTATGGTAACAACTGAAATCTTGACAGAATCTTGCTTACCTCAGTGGTTATTTCATAGCTTGTCCTGCTTTGTACAAAGCACATGACCTGTGCATTCAGTAACATTACAAACAGTGAAAGCTAGTAGTCTACAGGTCTTAGTAATGTTTTCGGCAGATTGCTATGTCATCAAGATGACACAGCTGCAGTTGAGCTTTTTCCTTGTTTCTATTGATTCTGATGCTTTCAGTCAAGAATGTCTAAGAAATTTTGAGATGGTAAGGAGAGTCAGTGATAATTTTGAACTCTTCAAAAAATGGGGAATGCAAATCTTAGGTGATCGTTTCTTTATACTCTTTCCTTGAGTGTTACAATTAGAAGAGTAATAATTGAGATACATGTGTAAGGAGTTTGTAGTTATCATTGAGATTTAAAGACAGACTTGAGCGATAAACCCACTTTGTATTCTGTTCATGCTGGACAAGTATCTAGCAACTTCCTTAGATATTGCTCATTAAAGATGACTACAGAAACTTGCTTCTAAGATTCACAGGAATCTATAATATGTAACATACATCATACAGAAATGTGCAATCACAGGTTACTTCTTGTAAGTACTTGAGGATTTCTAGCCAACAGTTTCTTGAAGAAAAGTTTGAAAATATCATGGATTCTTTTTGTCACTTTAAAAGCAGAGCCAAGATGATTACTGAAAATGAAGACCCCAGTTGTAGATGTATCATCCTTTGACATGCCAGACTGCCTAAAACTTTGAGACTTTTAAAAATTTATGATTCAGTTTAAATAGGCAAGACCTCAAGCAACCTGAACACATTGGTTAAGAAACAAGTATCCTTGGAGAACCAACAATACTACTCGCATCATGGAACAGGTGGGGCTCGAACCCATACCAATTGAGTCCTGGTGCACTGCTCTGTGAGTTTTAGGACTTGCCTGCCATGGGTTCAAGCTCCACCTATTCTGTGATTTGTTTGCAATTATGTTATTATGATTCATGAACACTAACCTTACTTGCATAGCAACTTAATTCCTGCAGTTTCATATGAAGCCTTTGGCTGGAACAGTCATAATCATTTACAAACCAGATAAACCTAGCAGCAAGAGCAACAGCAGCAATTCAAGATCAAAGAGCAGAGCAATCTTTCTAATTTTTTTCTTCTTTGTGAAATGTATTTGTCTCGTTTTTTTATGTAGACATAGTTTATAGATCAAAACATCTGTAAATTAGAAAGTACTGAATACAGTGCTTTATCTTATTTCATATTAAGAGAAAATTTGTATTAAATATAAGTATTTAAATGTCATCAAGCATTTATATATACTATTAGAAATGTTTTTCAAGTGTTCCAAATTTACTAATTACTGTATATTTTTATCTGTATTAAAGATATTAATTTTACAGCATCTTTTTATTATATTGATGAAATTTGTTGAGGACCCTATGATTATGATGTGTCACATAAGTGACACTGGCCTCAGTGATGTGGATCTACATGATAGACAAAGGTCTACCCTCAAATGGTTCAGAATATCCCAGGTGAGTGATCCCCCCTCCCCCCATCACCATCATCGTCATCATGGGTGTTAACGTGTAAGATTTACAGATGAATCTAGGTTTTCCTATATTTTTTTTTATTATTGTCCAGTTATCTTTTCATAGTTATATTTATTCTTGTTTCTCCACATTCTGGTAAGAGGTTGCTTTTAATTCACCAATTCAGAGATGTCATGACTACCTCTATGCCTAGTTTAAAAATTAATGCTGAATAGTTTGAACAGTTGTGAAATATCTTCTTAATAAAACTAAATTTTCCATACAAGTGGTCACACAAACACTCAAACGCAATTAAACAAATTGTCAGAAATTCATTTCCTCCACATAAACTTATTGCAGCAAGTTCTGTTTGCTATTGCCACTTGTGTATACACCATTTTCTCTTACTTTTCCTATCAGCTCACTGATATAGTGTCTTTACTCGTTATTCATTTACTTGTTGTGAACATGACCACATCATCATAGCATTCTCTTCAGTTTGAGTGGCACATTTATTTACTCAACAGGGTTAAAAAGTTTAATGTATATTTTTTTGGAGGATTATTTTTATTCTAAGTCCTGTTTATGGTAAATGAGTTTAAATTTATACAATCAGAATTTTAGCAGCATTGCTAATGAATCATTGAACCATTAAATTGAAGATATTAACCCTGTCATTATGACCCATGTAGATCTATGTTATTGATGCCAATATCTGTTATGTAGATCTACACAAATTCTAGTGGCTTCAAATTGGACAAGAGAGGCTTGGTAGGACTCAACCATGAGAGGCCTGTGCATGCAACATGTGTGCAATGGAGACATGATAATCTCTGGGCTTGGGTCATACAGTGTGTGCATGAATATGCACTGATTCCATTCTGTGCAGAAAACAAAAATATCCCCCAGAAGTAGAAATGCATTTTTTCATGGTTATTACATTATGTATTCTGTTGCATGCATCTCCCTGGAGGGGACATCCAGGGAAACAGAAGCTGTTAGAGTTCAAGATAAACAAAATGGATTATTCACCATTTATTGACATTGAAAAAATAACTTCATTATCACAAGAAAATAAAGAAGTACTCTTCTGAACTTCCAGCTACTGAATAAACATGTAACACACAATGGGCTGCTTACAAACCAAATGCATCACTCATTTGTTATTTGTGAGAATTGACTTACAAACGACCAATAATGGGGTGGTGTACCTAACATCTCTTCAACAGATTTCCTTAGCACAAGCTTTTGACTGCAATCCATTTTAAGAAAATACTGAATACAAACACACCTTTTGCAAATGGCAATTTTATTATGATAATCAAGCATTAACAATATCAGCAAAAAATCACAGTATATTTGAAAAGACTTCACTTATCCAAAACTCAGTGAAATGAAAGCCCCAATTTAACATAGAAATTCACTGGCTTCTACCCTTGTCCCTTCAATTAACACATTTTCTGTTTTTGTTTCTGTAGCTGCTGCAAACGACGTGTGCTGCAATTTCCCCATGTGTCCACACCTGAACTGGAAATTTTGTTTCCAAGTGAGGAATTAGTTGATAGTATACGGGATGCCTTGGCTATTTTTGTATAACTAACACTAATTTTAGAATAAGGTTTGTGAAAAACTTTAGTCATCATCTGTGTGTGGTTGATTGTGATAAGGAGGAAAGTGATGTAATTTTTTTTTTTAACCATATCAGTTGTCTTCTACCAAGGTTAGTTGATCCAAAATAGTTAACACATTCAGCACCATTCATTCAGTAGCTGTCTTGCCGGAAGCGAACAGATATTCTAACTGAAATAACCCTCTGAACTGTAATATCCCCACCCCTCCTTAAAGACTCAAATCCAGCTAACCAGTTTACCCTGAATCCCTTAAAAAAAATGTTAACGATACAGGAAGTAAAGTACAGTAGACCGTCATTTAACACGAGTTATTTGGTACGTTTTGGTTATAGCGTGATTGAAGAAGAATTGCAGCACAATTTTATACAACACTTCACAAAATCAACTTAACACGGTTCAGTCTGTGGGAAGGGAAAAAATTTTGAGATTGCGGTCGCCATCCCCCGCCACCCTCCCAGCCTGGTTCATACGTGTGTTGGACAAACCTCTGCTAGGAGCTCGCTGTGTTTGTTTAGATACGTATTTTAATTGCCATATCTTAAATCCGCCAAGCAGTCATGGCACCCAGTAGGCATAAAAGTGTTGCTGAAAGTGGCAAGAAAAGGTTTAAGCATTTAAGTCTAGTAGTTACGAAGAAAAGCGAGATACAGTGGACCCTCAGTTAATGATATTAATCTGTTCCAGAGAGCTTGTCCTTTACCAATTTTATTGTTATCCGATTTAATTTTCCCCATGAGAAATAATTGAAATCCAATTAATCTGTTCCTGCTGTCAGGAGGCATGACAGACTAGTACCTCAATATGACGCTATTATCAACTCTTCGGCTTATTTATCTATCACAATTCATCTAATGTGACATAATAAACAATATTAAGAACATAGAAACATCATATACTCTAGAATGAATAAAATATGTCATAATGTATGTGAGGAGTGGTGGAAGTGTTGTTGTTGGGTTTATAAGTTATGGCCACTGAGAGAAGCTGTACATATTAGTGGTGGTGGAGGCTTCTGCCACCACCACTATCCACAAACAATATATGTACGTAATTTATAAATAAGAAATATTTACATTTTAATTTATAAATAAGAAATACAGTGGACCCCCAAGTTTTGGCAGCATTGACTTTCGTGAAATTCGACTTTTGGCAAGTTTTTTCGGCAAAATTTGGCCTCGAGTTTCGTGATTAGACTCGTGATTCGGCGACCGTCCAGTACCCGTCTGCCCGTCACCGCACACACACAGCCAGTCTCCCACGCCATTCACGCTCAGTGTGCCATTGTTTACCAACACGTGACCATCGCCCCTTGGGTTCATACATAATAATCCATTGTTTTTTGTGATTGCAACTGCTAAATAAGTCACCATGGGCCCAAGGAAAGCTAGTGCAAGCCCTTTGGTAAAGAAAGCGAAGAACACGATCCAGAAGGATTTTGAAGGGTTTGAGGCAGACCCTGACCCTGCCAACTCTCTGCCTGTTGTGGAAGGTGTTGTGGCATTGAGCAAGTCCATGGGGTTGGAGGTGAGTGATGGGGATGTGGAAGAGTTGGTGGAGGACCACAGAGAAGAGCTAATCACTGACAAACTGCAAGAGCTTCAACTGGAACAGCATCAGACCACAGCTGAGGAACTTGCTTCAGAGGAGGAGGAGGAAAAGAGAGTGAAGGAGGTGCCTTCTTCGGTGATTAAGGACATGTGTTCAAAGGGAAATGAGTTGCAAAGTTTTGTTGAAAAGTATCACCCTGACCAAGCTGAAACAAGCCATATCTGCAACATGTTCAGTGACAAACCCTTGTCCCACTTCAGGCAGATCATAAAGAAATGCCAGAAACAGACCTCTCTGGACAGATATTTTGTGCAACAGGGGTCTAGTGACTCAAGTTGTTCCCAGTGGCATTAAAAGAAGAAGGGAAGTAACCCCAGAAAAGGACTTGCTACCTGAAGTCCTAATGGAAGGAGATTCTCCTTCCAAACAATAGTGTACACCTTCCTCCTATCCCCTCCTCCCATCTTCCATCCACCCAGAAGTCTTCAGTAAAGGTAAGTGTTAATGTTATTATTTTTTATATGCATGTACTCGATTTCTGATTGTTTTTAGTATGTAAATCTTTATTTAATTTGAAAAAAATATTTTTTTTTTATTATCACACTGGCCCGAAAAAGAAAAACTTTCACCATCATTCACTCCATCACTGTCTTGCCAGAAGGGTGCTTTACACTACAGTTTTTAAACTGCAACATTAACACCCCTCCTTCAGAGTGCAGGCACTGTACTTCCCATCTCCAGGACTCAAGTCCGGCCTGCCGGTTTCCCTGAACCCCTTCATAAATGTTACTTTGCTCACACTCCAACAGCACGTCAAGTATTAAAAACCATTTGTCTCCATTCACTCCTATCAAACACGCTCACACATGCCTGCTGGAAGTCCAAGCCCCTCGCACACAAAACCTCCTTTACCCCCTCTCTCCAACCTTTCCTAGGCCGACCCCTACCCCGCTTTCCTTCCACTACAGACTGATACACTCTTGAAGTCATTCTGTTTCGCTCCATTCTCTCTACATGTCCCGAACCACCTCAACAACCCTTCCTCAGCCCTCGGACAACAGTTTTGGTAACCCCCGCACCTCCTCCTAACTTCCAAACTACGAATTCTCTGCATTATATTCACATCACACATTGCCCTCAGACATGACATCTCCACTGCCTCCAGCCTTTCTCCTCGCTGCAACATTCAATCACCCATGCTTCACACCCATATAAGAGCGTGGTAAAACTATAACTCTCATACATTCCCTTCTTTGCCTCCAAGGACAAAGTTCTTTGTCTCCACAGACTCCTAAGTGCACCACTCACTCTTTTTCCCTCATCAATTCTATGATTCACCTCATCTTCATAGACCCATCCGCTGACACGTCCACTCCCAAATATCTGAATACATTCACCTCCTCCATACTCTCTCCCTCCAATCTGATATTCAATCTTTCATCACCTAATCTTTTTGTTATCCTCATAAACCTTACTCTTTCCTGTATTCACCTTTAATTTTCTTCTTTTGCACACCCTACCAAATTCATCCACCAATCTCTGCAACTTCTCTTCAGAATCTCCCAAGAGCACAGTGTCATCAGCAAAGAGCAGCTGTGACAACTCCCACTTTGTGTGTGATTCTTTATCTTTTAACTCCACGGCTCTTGCCAAGACCCTCGCATTTACTTCCTTTACAACCCCATC